TGGCCGGATCCATCTCTGCATCGCCTGCCGCAACGTGCAGAAGAGTGAAACCACGCGGGACCTCCTCCTGGCCACCCACCCTGCCGCCCAGGTCTCCACCGTGGAGGTGGACCTGGGTAACCTGGCTTCCGTCCTGCGTGTTGCCCGCGAGCTCCGCTGCAGGTATGGGGTCTCTGTCCTCCACCCCGCCTGGACACCCCCTGTCCTCACTCTGACCCTCACCCCTGTGCTCTTCTCTGTGCAGGTTTCAGCGCCTGGACTTTGTCTACCTCAATGCTGGGATCATGCCCAACCCACACGTGAACTTAACGGCACTCTGGCATGGTCTCCTCAGCGGGTAAGAGATACTGTGGGACTCCCAGTCCGCAGCTTCCAGGCAGTATGGAGTGCTAGCAGCATCACTGTGGCTAAGATGTGCCCTTGGGTCCAGTGCTGAAGACCCTGTCTCCCTTTCCCAGTGTGAGAGAGAACATCCCTGTGGGATGTGTGGTCTTGTGTGGGGTGTGTTTGACAGCTGAGTGGAAGGCTGGGGTGATCCAAGGCACCCAATGCCACTTTGACCCTAGGTGTGAGACCTGCTGCGTGCAGGGAGAGGGCAAGAGTTCACCCAAAGCCTGTGGCTCCTGTCACTGCGGGAGAAATACTGCTGTATTGCTGGGGAGGTGGAGTTTGCTTATACTGTGTCTCTTTACTGTTGTTTTGATCCCACTGCAGGCTTTTGTAGTTGTTCATAGCTGTGGATCACAGTATTTTGTGGAGCTAATGATGTTGGTATGAGCATCATTATTTTGTAAGTGACACAGGGAAGCTGAGCTGGGGAGCTCAGTGACTTGTGTTATGTCTAATAAAGCTGTTGAGGTATTTAGCACTGATGCCAGACTGCTTTCCTTACCTGCATTATACATGGCCCTAGGGTTTAGTTCCATGCTGAAGCTTTATGATTTTTTTTTTAAACTGAGCATGCAATGAAGGAGCAAGACTTTTTTTCTTAATGATACTTTGTGGTGGTGAAGTGAAGGAAGGGGCAAGTCTTCTCTGGTCTAGTCAGTATTGAGACACACAAATAAAGTGGCTGGGATACTCTGTAAACTTTTTCCACCTATTTTTTTCATGGGCTGGTAGAGTCCTTGATGGTGAAATTTGAGTCTGTATGGAGACTGAAGTGGAGAATACTTCTGAAGGGCAGAAGTGGGGGAGTGGTAGATGCCTCCTTGTTAACTCCTGTCCTTGGCTTCCAGGAGGCTGCTTCACATGCTGACCACTGCAGAAGGCATAATGACCCAGACAGACAGGCTGAATGGTGATGGACTTCAGGAGGTGTTTGCTACCAACCTCTTCGGACACTTCATCCTGGTAAGGCTGTGTATGAAGATTGAGTCCTTGGTGTTTGGTGTGGGTAGGAATGGGTCCAGGCAGTACTGCTGAATCAGTTTTCACACGTTCAGACACTGATGCAGGTTGCAGCCTGGCAGATAAAGATTGGCAGTAGTTTTCACACGTTCAGACACTGATGCACGTTGCAGCCTGGCAGATAGAGATTGGCAGAGCCTTGAGATTTGTTTAAATAGCAATAAATGGTGACTGTTGTTGCAAGGGTTAGTATAATCTTGAGGTTGCTCTAGTTATAGAAGCAATGGATAGACACAAATCCTATGTAGTTCTCTGTCCAAAGTGAACACCAAGGCTTGGCTGTGTTTAATTCTGAGGTGCTCAACTGTGCAAGAGAATGACAGCTGCTTGTAAATGTTCCTGATGGACCTCAGGCTGAAGTTACACCTGAGCAGTGTCTGCTTCTGGCTAGCCTAGGGAAGGCTGGCTGGGAAAGCTGAGCTAAGCTTGCAGCTTTCAGGAACTGTAAAGCTATACTCTGTACAGTTATGGCTGTGTTAAATATGTTAACAATTCTTTTTCAGGTTCGTCAACTTCAGTCTCTGCTCTGTGGTAATGAGAAGCCCTCACGACTCATCTGGACCTCCTCCAGCAATGCCAGGGAATCTGCCTTCAGTCTCTCTGACTATCAGCATGCCAAGGGACAGGAATCATACAGTTCTTCCAAATATGCTACTGACCTGACAAGTGTGGTTCTGAACAGGAAATTTAATGAGCAGGTGATGGTGTTTGTCTTTCTGAGGAAATCTAATGAGCTGCTACTGTTTGTAATTATCATTACATTGTTGTTACCCAGTTGCATTTATTCCCTCATAGCAATCTCTGGTACATTCCTTAATGCACGTGTAACAACTAAACACGGCTGAGGTTGAACTGGTGGTGTGTGCGGTGGAGAATCTGCCAGAGAGATTGCTCCTGGGTTCTTGCCAGAAAAACTTCTGAAAGCAGGAGATTATAAGAGCAGCCCCTGCCTTGCAAGCTCTAACTGTCTCTTTAGACCAAATAATTGGTCATAAAGAGCAAAGAGACTCTGCTTTTTCAGGTGTACCTACCTGTCAGAACAGGGCTGCTCTGGCATTGTTGCCTGCAAGCACTTGAGGTGCAGGCTCTGCTAGTGTTTCCATGCTGCTATTCAGGTTTGTCACACTAAGATGTATAAGCATCCTGCCTTCCCTCTTATGGGGGATTGCTGGGTTTTGTTAGCAAGATGCAGCCCTAGTCCAGTGGTGGTAGTTGCACTCTTCTGAAATACTTCAGGGGGAAAATGGCTTTGTCATAGAAGGCTGAACTCCTGTCTGTTAAAGGTGAGGTAGCCTTTGGTCTGGGTGGTCTGTAATTTGTGGGATGACTCCTGTGGCTGCTGAGCTTCTTGGAGACTACACCATGAGATGATGTGTTGGGAGGCTGTGTCTGCTGTCTCATGGGCTTGTAATGGCATGGATTTAACAAGAAATATCCCACATGAACCTCTTAAAAATCACTACATTTCATAGCTCTCTGCCTCTCATAACTTTAAAGAGGAGAGTATCTACTATTAGCTAGTCTATACTCACCCTGACTTTCTTGATGAGGAGTACTGGGAGGGAAGGAGTATGATCCATTCTTTAACTGTTAAATTGCACACTGACTTGATTTCTTTTCCACAGGGTCTATATTCCAGTGTTGTTTGTCCTGGTCTTGTTATGTCTAACATGACCTACAGAATTTTGCCAGTTTTTCTGTGGAAGCTGCTAATGCCCATCATGTGGTTGGTGAGTAGCTCTCCTGGCTGGTTTTGAGCTGAGGTAGCCCTGTTGTGATGCGCTTCTCTGCAAATGATGTACAGCACACTTCTGGCTCCTTGCTGCCTGTGCTGCTATACAGCTTTTCCTTCTGTTGGGCTGGGCAGGCTGGCCTCCCTGCAAACCTTCCATTTTGCATCTTGGGGCCCTGATTTCCAGGCTGAGTTTGGAGCTTTGGTGCTGGACAGCACTGTGCATAGAGCCAGGGTTCAGTCCTTCAGCCACAGCAGCGTTTGTCAAGGCTCCTCCTGGAAAGTTTGCCAGCCTGCTTGGGCTTGTGAAACACCATTATTTTGGTGTCAGCAGAGCTCAGGACAAAACTTGGCCCCTGTGCTTTGAAATGCAGTTTGTTTCTAGAACAGACTGTTTTTCAGTGTTCTTTCCATCCCTGTAGAAGGCAGTGTTTCCTGCTTTTTTTCATTCCATCCCTCTGGAAAGCAAAATATCCTGCTCTGTCTTGCCTCTTCCCCTGCTTCCCCCAAACCTTCCCTGCTTTTCTTCCTCTGGGCTTCAACTTCTCAGGTTCACTGCAGTTCTGTCCGTGAAGGCTACTTGCTCTGAGCCTTGATGCTCTGACTTCAAGACTGGCCTTTCTACTTAAGCTGCCCTAGTTGCAGCAGCTGATCCTGATGGATCATGTTTCTCCTGGCAACAGAGAGGCAATACCTTCTCAGTTGTCCTCAACACTGGCAGTATTGCAGATCCTCTCTGCCTTCTGCCATTCATGACCTTGAGACCATTCAAAAAGAGGCACCTGCAAGGCATGTGTGGCCAGTTGCCTCCTGCCTCGGGGTGAGCTCTGTGTGAGAGCATGGAGTGATGCTTGCTGACCTGCTGGGTGGCTCCATAGAACTTGTGCTGATAAAGTGATGCTTTAATCAGTGTGCAGTGTTACCTGTAGTCAACTTGGAGAAGCATTTCTACCTCTGGCAGATTATCTGAAGTGTCTGGGCTGCTCAGGGCTTGCCAGAGAAACCTTGGACCACAATACACATTCTGTCATGTGCTTCTTTTCCCCTCAGATCCGATTTTTCGCCAAGACTTACACTCTGACTCCGTATAATGGGGCACAAGCTCATGTAAGTAGTTCACAACTTGACTCTGGGTAGCTCTTGCAGAGTCTGCTGACTTGAGCAAAGAGTCTCAGTAAGATGGGTGGATAGGTGCTGTATTTGACCCCCATACAGTAGTGAGTACTGGGGCTGAGACCAGGCACGATCTGCCAACGGATGCTTTATGACCTTCATCCAGAACCCATAAACCAAATTATTTTTGAAAAACACTATTCCCTCCGTCTTGATCAGGGAGAATGACATGCAGGCATGGGGAGTAGAGGTGGGTGATGCAGGGCACAGTGTGTCTCAAGCACAGTACAAATAAGTTTAGCCATACTAAACTGCTTTAGCATAAATATGGGTTACTGTTGGCTCAGGTATGTCACAACTGAATGGAGCCAGCTTAGAACTTAGCTAAATATCATGTCTGCTTGGTGTGGGCACCTGTGATGTCTCCTGTGCCCTCTGGCAGTCAGGTCCTTGCCTGCTGGCTTGGTTGCGACAGTATGTGCTTGACTTGTACACCTTTGTGTTGTTCTTCCTAGGTATGGCTGTTCAAACAGAAGCCAGAGTACTTGGATTCACTTGTCAAATACCATAGCTGTACTTCTGGACTGGGGAAATGCTATGTGGAGCCTAGAAAGGTAAGTGAGGAGGGAGCCTCCTGCTGCAGGGAGCTTGGCTAGGAGTCTGCCATCTGCCTTGCATGGAAGGGTTGGTGCCAAGGGTGTCTTGTGGCTGGACTGGAAGCAAGATGCATGCTGAGTGCTGAGCTGCAGGGTGGGATGTGGGGTTCTCTGTGAGGTTTCTTAGAGTAACTCCTGGCTTAGGCCAGTCTGGGTTAGCCTAAGTGTCTGGAAGACAGTGAAATCATGGTTAGAACAGGTTAAGTGTATAGTAATGCTTCCCTGAAATGTTTTCTGGCTTGTGCCAGAATGTGACTGATGTCTTTAGTTGCCTCTCTGTGAATATAGAAGCTCTGGAGATGCACCTTACCTATCCCCAGAACTACCCTTGGCATTTATGCAGGCTGCCACCAAGGTGATAATCACAGTGATGTTCTTATTGTCTTCCAGATGGATGTGGATGAAGAAACTGCAGAGAAATTTTACCAAAAGCTGTTGGAACTGGAGGAGCAAACTCTAGAGAAATACAGTGATCTCTTAGATTAAGCAAAGCCAGTCTCAGTGGGGTAAGAGATTTGTATTGGTAACATGGGCCTTCTTCACTCTGGTGCTATTTGTGTTGCCTGCTGTTCTGCAGGCACATGGCTTCAGACTCAATCTTCCTTCTCGACAGAAGGTGAACAGTTCCTGAAAATGGAAATGTGAAAACTGAAGAGAAATACTTAGACTTTGTGGTATGGGATATTTATTTTTTTTGCATAAGACTGGAGACCTAGAGTATGTGGAGTCTGTCTTAACACAGTTGCAAAACAGTGTCTTGCAAAAGCATGACTGAAGTGTGCACGGTTCAGAAACAGCCTCAAAGACCTGTGGTTTAAATCTGGCAGTAAAGACAGCAGTCTGGGGTGCTGCCCTGTGTCTTGGCTCTGCTGGTGTCTGTAGGTGGCTCAAACACACATTACCTGTGGCTGATCCTGAAGTACTTGAAGGCTCACCTTCAGAAGAGCTGCTCCTACACCTGTTCACCAAAGCTGGGGCTGACTTTACAGACCTGCTTAACAAGATTGAACCTTACTGGCAATCAGGCTCTCTGCACAACATCTGAAACCAAGCTCCTGAAGAGCTGGCCTGAGAAGCACACCTGCCTCAGCTGTGAGGACAGATGCCTTGCTGTCTCCTGGCTGTGGGGCCATAAAGGTTTTAACCATGACTGGCTGGAAAGGCTGAAGCTGATGATGTTAATCTGGACTCTGGGCTTCTCTGCTCTGTTTATAGCAAGATGGAGAGGTTACTATATAGTTTTATCTATTTAATTCCCTTTTTATATAAATCTACTGTAACAACCATTCTTCTTGTCTATCTGGGGACCTTCAGGAAGTACCTGGCACCAAGTACTTTCCAAGTGCTGTGATGAATAAATGACTGGAACTGACTTGTCCTTGCTTCAGTGGTGTTTTTACTCCATTATCCTTCTGCTTTTGACTGGGAGGGCTGGAAGGGAAGCTGATTTGTTGCCTTGCACTACTATAAGCCTCTGTATACCTGGCAGTGTCTCTTCTGCCACAGGAGAGCTGTTAACCACTTTTTTTGCTTCCCTCCCTCATTCCTTTTAGTTAATGAAAGACATGAGTGACTTCTGAAGATTTCAGTGTGGTTTTGTGTGTTCAGCACCTATGAGATGTCTATTTCCCAGCCTTAGGCCCTTGGGAGATGTCTGTGGTGCTTGCTCACCCTGATGAGTCACATAATCACTTATTGAAAGCTCCCTGATAAGGGGACCCAGGCACTTCACTGGGCCTGGACAGGGTGGCTGTGCTGGTCAACCCTGTACCACCTGGCTGAGGTGGAGGCTCCCTGAACTCGAGGCTGCATGCCCAGGCTGGTGCATCCTGCTGGGGACTGGGGTGCCCACAAAGAGGGGTGGCTCAAGGGTCTGTGTAGGAAACTTGCACAGAGCTGGCAGCCAGGAGAATCCAGGCTCTGCAGAGGCTCTTCATGAAGTTGGCTTGCAGGGATACAGATTTAAAGAATCTTGCTCTTACTCTTTTTCCTTCTTCCCAGCCTCCCTTGGCTTTAAGCATCTCTGCAAAGCAGAGGAGTAGTGCTAGTAGAGTGGTATCAGCAGTAGAAATAGCTCAGTTTCAAGTTTGGGCTGAGCAACACCTCTAAGCTCCTTATATGAATACCTGAGCTACCAGCACAGCATGGATAGGAATGCACTCTGTTTTAACCTGACATTAGAACTGAATGAGGAGCTGGCCATTGTGGAGTGTTTCCCTTGGCTGTGGCTGTAGCTGTTTGGAGTTGTGAAGCAGATTGGGGTGTGCCTATGTGGCTGTTAATTTAAGTATAATAAAACCTGCCCCAGCACCAGATCTGGGTGCTGTGGCTTTGTTCAGCTGTGTCCCAAAACACCCTTGAGGTAGTGTGCCCTGTTTCTCATGCTGTTTCTTCTCTACAGGGAAGGAGTCAGTGGCTAGCTGTCTCTTCAGTTTGGTGGGCTTGATCTCCACAGCATCCTACAGCAGGACTTGGCTACTTGTTCTGGAGAATAATGAAACGTGTTGTCTTGATTGGTTTTAGATAAGCATCTTGAACTTGCTGTGCTTCTGCCCTGGGCTGTAGTAGGTACCATTCACCCCCTCCACCTTTAGGATTCCCCACCTACGCAAAATCCAAAGACACTTGGTCATTCCTTATCCCTGCCTCGTTCTCTGTCTGAGCTGATAGATGAAATAGCAAGTGTTACTCAAAACAGTCTGACACAATGCTTCATGAGCTGTGTGCAAGTAGCTGGGAGATGGGAGGGTCAGGACCAGGCCAACCTGGTCACATGTATTGCCCTTTGCCAACTGTGTGTGGGCACTGCAGCTATGGCAGTCCAAGAATTTGAGTGCAGTAAGGTCCAGAAGTGCAAGAAGAGGTAGCTTTGAATAAATTAGCATAGTTAGGAGAAATAAATGCATTCTGATCCATGAGGTTTGGTGGTTTTGTTGTGGATTTCTTCCTCCTAAAGCCTGGAACAAAGGGGTAAATTTCTAGGATGGGTAGAAGTTGATGACCTCTGATAGGTAGGACCTTTGAGGTTTTGTCTCAAGTGTGTGCCTGTAGGATAAGGTTGGGCATTTATCAGGAAGAGTAGTGCCTGATGGGATGGGACAAGTGCTTTTTGCTGCTGGAGCATGCAGAGGCTGATGAAGGGAGAGGATATATATCACCACCAGTCTTTATCCATGACATTGGTGCCAAGTAAAGCTATGAATGTGTTTCTGGGTTCACTTTAAAAGCTCTCTGTAGCTCGCTCTTGAGGACTTGTGGTACAGGATTAGAGAAGATGTGTGTTTTGGTCCTACTGTGTCTGAGCTCAGCTTGCTGCATGGTTGAGTCTCACCCTAATTGCTGTGATGGCATCTGGTGCACTGTGATGTGTGTTGCATCCTGGGAGATGGCAAGTGTAGGATTCAGGGTTTGTAGGGGATCTGCCACAACATGTGGTTGTGGTTGGTGTGGGTGCAAAGTGGCCACTGGAAACCTCAGACTCCTCTTCCTGTTCAGTGTTACATAACAAAGGAGACAAAAGGTGCTAAAGCACAAAGTGAACCCTGGAGAAATGGGACAAGCTGGAAAGATGGGATAAAGCTTGTGGTTTCTTATGAGTTTGGTGCTGCATGGAGCTGGAGTGCACAATAAGCTTGGGGGTGAGGCAGGGTGGTGAGAAATGCCAGGTGGGAGAGGGGAAGAGCTGGCAGTGGCTGCTGTGAGTCAGTGCTAAGACAGGAGCTTGCTGTTTGTGATCCTTGGCTATGGAGCTTTCCAGAGATGCTCTAGGGCAGGTCTTGAGCATGAAATCATGGTGTGGTTGCTCTATGATAATCTGCACAAACAGCTGTGTGATCTGATGTCTAATCACTATGCCTCATCCTGAGATACTGGTTTCTTCTCTTTGTGGGCAGACACGTTGCCTTGCTCCAAACACAGCCTGAGTCCTCCACTGCTTTTCAGCTCAACCAGCTTTCAGCTATGTAGGACATGGATAACAGGAGTGTGGGTGGAAATGGCCCTGGCCAAGGGAGGAGAAAGCTTGAGACTGGTGTGTGAGGGCTGAAATCCTGTGGCTAGGTGACCTTTGCCTCTCCTGGAAGGGAGGGCAATGGGATTGAAGGGAACAACAAGGATCAGCATGTGTCCCTGTAAACAGGTGGATGTAATACAGCTGGTTTGTTTGGAAACATCCAGGGTTAACCTTTGAATGCCAACTTTGATGTCGAAAGCGCTTGGAGGAGAGCTGCCTGGAGCAGGGAGAACAGAGACATAGCTCTGAAGAGCTGAGTGAGACACAGGGAGCAGAAAACCCTCTGGGAAGGTTGCAGCAGCATGACATGTCTGCCTGGCAGGGAAGAGCCAAGAGGGACTTGGACCTGGGTGGGGTTTTTCTGAGAATGGGTTTATTGTAGAGACCTGGGAAGTTTTTGGCTGGGAGGAAGAGCTTGCACCTCCAGCCAGCCCTCCTCCAAGCAGGTGGCCTGATGGCAGGCCCAGGCAGCTCAAGGATATGTCCAGGGGAGTTCTGAAGTCTTCATGATGAACACCCCACAGCCCCCCAAGGCCCTGTTCTGGGGCTGCTCCCACACACTGCCCCACTTTGCAACTTTCCAGGGGAGAGTAAGGCTGAACTGCTTGAAGGTCAGAGGCTTGGGGCAGATATATGCCACACGGGCAAGGAAATATGAAAGCCCAAAAAGGGCCAAGTCAGTGTTGGTTTGCAAATCAGGGAGCTGTGCCCAAAGGAGAAATCTCAAAGGGAACTGGTGGATGAATTCAGGAACCACTTGTGAGAAGAGTTAGGATGAGTAGTAAATCCTTCATTTAACTCATTCTATAGCTGCTCCTATGTAAGAGCAGAGCTTGGAGAGGCTGTGATGCTGAGATTAAAGGTTTTGGCATCAGTGCTCAGTGAGAGGGGCCTGGGAAGGGTGCCCTGGCAGAAACCCTCTGCAGATAGAAGGGTTTGTATCAAACCAAAGTGCTAGCAGGGGAAACAACAGGGCAGGCAGATGAAACACCAAGGCTGGGTGACATTCACCTCAAGGCAAAGCAGCTGAGCTGATCACTGTGCATTCATTTCTCCCTTAAAACTGCCTCAAGCTCAGCAGACAGGAAGGTGGTTGGATACTCAGCCTATGGTCAGGCTGTGCAAGGCATTGCTGAGGTGCAATGCAGTTACTGCACATATATGTAGGAACCTCTTTCTCAGAAGAGAAGCTGCTAAAGACAAAGATGAACTCGAGGCGCCCTGTGGAGGCACAGCTCCAGACTTGCTCTGCACTGTGTCTGTCTCAGCAGAAGCTTTGGTCCAGGATTTAGCTCCCTGGAAGCACCATGAGTCACCGTGGTCAGCACTTCTGTGGGCAGCATGTATGGTAGGTGCAGCAATATTTCATGAGTTTGTCATGTGAGTAGAAGGTGTCTCCTTCATGGTGAGCCAGCTAAAGCCAGACCAGCTGAGATGGTTGGGATAAGTCATTTCCAAGCAGCCATGTGTGAAGGCTGTAGGGATGCTGCTTTGTGCTGGCTAGTCCTGTAAGCCCCAGGACATGTGTGTGTGGTCTCCAGGCACCAGTGCTTTATGAATGGCCTTAAAATGCAGTAAAACCACTCGGATATGGAGCAGATCCTCACACTACCTACCCACACTCTGCTTGTCAGCGGCTGTCACAACTTGGGGCTCAGGGGGGCTGCATCACATCCCTGCCTTGAATTCCCTGGATACTGTTCAGAGCTCATGGCTTCCTTGGCTTCTGGCAGCTCTTAAGCTGACTCAGGCTCTTCCTGCTGTGCCCAGCAGCTCCCTAGCCAGCTCATGGTAGGCATTCTTGTCTGAAGAGGGATGTATTGTAACCTGGGTATGGACTGTGTGGCTGGTAGCAGGCAGAATGCAGTGGGAGAGAGAACTCATGTCCATGAGATGGCAGAGGTGTTGGAGGATGGCTGTAAGGATGGCTCTGTCTCTAGTCTAGCTGCCTAGAGACAGAGTGGCAGTGGTTGAAGTCAGTAAAGTTAGACAGAGGAGCCTGT